GGCGGCTTGTTTTTTTTTTTCGAGAGTACTGCCGGCGGCTTGTTTGACATTGGTTCGCCTGCCGGGTGGCGAAGTGGGTCGAGCCGTACGGCTCCACCCTGTCAGTCAGTGCGGGTGCGGAGGCCGGAGGCGGCGGGGTAGGCAGGGATTTACCATTTAGGTCCACCGGTCAGCGAGGCAGAAACGTCTTTAGATCGGGTCTCGGGTATGAGTAAAGCGGTCATACTTCCCTTGCGTAAACGACAGTTTAACGAAAATGATGTTGTAAATCTAACGATGGCGATTTTAGTGACGCGAGGATGTCAATGCATGACAATTTTCTGGTAAAAAATACACTAAGAATGATTTTATCATGTTTGTCAATTAAACTTGTCATCCTTGCTCACTAAAATTTCAAATGGCATGAATGTAAATAACAATATATCTTTTTGCATGTTTTTGTTCTATATATTTCATAATCATAAAACTAGGAAATACAATGAATCCCTTGATTCAAACCCTTGGAGCAACTCTACCAGATGCGCTATATCTTTCGCCGCCTCAAGTAATTCCAGCCGGTTTTTGAATATTTTGTGGGCCGAACAGGAATGCTATATCGAGGCTGGTTCGTAAATATTTTATAAGCGGCCCACAAAACCGTCCTTCCATCGCTATATATACGGGGTTGGGAGCGTTTTAGGTTCACATCTCATCTCCTCCGTGGCCTCCCTTCCTATCTTCGGCTAGCAATTCCGTTGGTGCAATTCCTTTTTCTGTCAAGCAATGGCGGGTTCTGCACGCGGGGGAGTGGTGGCTGTGGCCGTGGCGGGTCGCCACCGCGCAAGATCTTGTGCAACGGCGCAGAGGCCGACAACTCCCCCCTGCCCCCCTCCCCCGACGCAGAGTCCAGTTGGCCCCTCATGTGTAGCTTCATTTGATGCACCCAGTCCCTATAGTTCTGCCTGTTGAAGATAATAGGATAACGTGGGATTGCGGCAGCACCGGTGGTGGAGGGCGCCATTCCAGCAGAGTAGAGCACTCGTTGAAGACCAGCAACAGCAGCAGACCAGGAAGAGCAGCAGCAGCATCAGCTTGTTGAAGACTAGGAACAGCACCTGCTGCAGCTCATTGAAGACCAACAACAGCATGGGGCATAGCCTGATGGCAGCCGCAGCTGCGGATGAAGAGGCAGGAGGCCGGCGGCCAGGGAGGCTGGTGGCGGAGGCAGCATTGGCGTCGACCGAGAAGGACGGAGGCGGCGGTGCCTGCCGAGAAGGACGGCGGCGGCTACCAGCAGCAGGTATGCATGGAAGAAGAAGAGGGGAGAGGCTTGATGGAGAGAGGAGCGGCAGCGGCAGCTAGGAAACCTAACCCTAGCTCTTATACCATGTTATGAAATGAGCTAGTACATTATTGGGGCCAACACGCCAGCACATATACATGTAGGGAAATATGTAAAGAAGCCCCTATACAATATGGTAACTACACACAGCACAACACCCTGTTCTAACATAAAGGATCGTAAGTAATAGAGGGCCAAAAATGAGCCCAAGAATATATAGGCCTTTGGAGGCTGAAAGATAACACGTGCTAGAGATGGCCCAACTGAATCATGGGTCGTTGGTGGGTATAAAGTAGTTTACTGTTTGTTATGGGCCAGAATCACCACGGGCTGTTAAAGGGCCTAGAGATACAAAAGGCCTCATATGGGCCAAAAGACATCATGGGCCAATAGTGACAACGGGCTGGAATTATACTAGACGGCCCACATGATGCTACTGGGCTGAATTTGGGAAGGCCATAACGGGCCGTGAGTTACTGGGCCATAAATGGGCTATATGCGAACATGCCGTTAACAGGCTTTCCTTGGGCCGACCCGCTAACTTTTGACCAGGTCAAACCGGCCGGCCTTTCTAACCTATATGGGCCACTGTTGGGCCGTGCCATGTGTCGACGTATCATAGGCGTGTGTCATCCATTGGATGGATGCCATCTGTTTGATGTGGAGGTGACACGTGGTTCCTCCGGCCAATGAGAATTTTACATGTGGAAATCGCCATTGGTCCGGGATGTTAACAGGTTGTCAGATCCAAATCGAAACCCGATAGCTTAATGGCGACCCGTTACGGTGGATGCCACATGTTGGTTACCCTTGACGAAAACACTTCTGTGATGCGCCATTTATCATCATGGAAGTGGACACTTCCGTGATGATAATTTGAGTATTGTCATGGAACACTTCTAGGACAACACATGTATGACTATCTTGATTATGTCATAAAATCGTCATGGATGTACATGCATGACAGAAAACGTGACCTACTCTAACAAACATGTGTCATCATGGAAGTGTTTTTTTGGAGTGATATAGGCAACACCAAAAATCCAACCTTTACAAGCCTTTGACCCAACTCGCACCGACATGAAAATCTCAGTGAGACCGACTAGTGTAAAAGACTTGACCGTTAGGCTTTTCGGTGAGACCGAATAGAACATCTCGGTGCGACCGAAGTGCAATGGCTAGGTCAAGACCTCGTTTCGGAAATTCCGATCAGTTCATCTTGGTGATTCCAAAATGAAGCGACTTCACTACAGAAGGTTGGTCAGAGCCATCTCGGTGAGACTGAGATCCAGTTTCGGTTGTACAGAAGTGTAAGGGTTTGGCATGTGGCAGTGTGTATGGAAATCTCGGTGGGTCCGTATGGGAGTGTTTCGGTGGGATCGAGATCAAACTTTAAGGTTTTAGATAGGAATGAAGTGGAGAAATATTTGAGGGTTTTGGAGCAATATCACTAAGCACTTGGGCAATTGAGTCATGACCAAAACCTCATCCCCTTTTAATAGTATTGGCTTTTCTATGGACTCAATGCGATCTTGGATCACTTAACAAAAAATGTAGAGTCTTGGAGCTTTGCCTATCTTTGTCCTTAGCATTTTTAGGGGTCCACATCCACTAATCCATGCCATGCCAATCGTTGATCTTCTCTAAAATATATTATCAATGAGCATTAGATCAATTACTTATATGTTGTTATAATTACCAAAACCACCCGGGGATTAGTTGCACTTACACGTGTTCACAAACACCATCAATTGATGGAAAACTTAGCAAAGAAGGAAGCATGAGTTAGCATGACGCATGTGCCCAACCAAGCAAATCACATCACACACACATCTTGTTAAGGTGAATTGTTTATGTTTATTTTGGCTTATCGCAAATAGTTCATCCAAGTGACGTGTATGTCGTCTATCGCACACACCTTGTTTTGGCTGACTGTTTCTGTTGTTTTGGCACATCGCAAATAGTTCATCCGAGTGAATTGTATGCCGTCTATCACATACACCTTGATCTGGTCGCCCATTTATGTTGTTTTGACTCATTGCAAACAATTAATTCGAGTGAACCGTATGCCATCTATCGTACACACCTTGATTTGGCTGACTATTATTTTGGCTCATCACAAACCATTCATCCGAGTGAACTGTATGTTGTCTATTGCACACACATTGATTTGGCTGACCATTTATATTGTTTTGGCTCATCGCAAATAGTTCATATGGATCAAATATATGCCACATATCGCACACACGACTCCAATATGAACCGTGCTTGATGTCTCTGCCATCGCGCACAATTCATTTTATTGGTGGTGGTTTCGTTACAATGTCGTTTGCGATTCATGCATCGCACATAGTTTGGCCGATTGGTCTCCTATACATGTGTCGTGTTAGGACCTTCATGAAGTAGTGTTCTGTAACCAATAACAATTCTTTGTGGGATATCTTCTTTTTTATCATTAGGAACAACAGTAACTCCTCCTTTCTTAGGAACACAGTGAACAAGACTTGCGCATCTACTGTGGGATAGGATAGATTATACATGCTTCTAGGAGCTTGAGTATTACTTTTTCTTACCAAATCCTTCATTTTTTAGGATTTAAATGGCATTAATGATCTACAACAAGTTTAGCATCAGGTTCCATATGAATCTACTGCATACAAAGAGTAGGACTAATGCCCTTAAGATCATCAAGAATATAACCAATTGCCCCACAGTGTTTATTGAGAATCGCAAGTATTTTTTCTTCTTCATACACTGATAGGTCAATACTACTAATAACACGATACATCTTCTTTGCATCAAAATAAGCATATTTAAGTGCACCGGGCAAAGGTTTAAATTTAAACACATGATCACCTTTAGGAGGCCTAGGATCTCCTAAGGTTTCAACATAGGGATTTTTTTAAGCAAAGCTGGTCGCCAAAAGAAAACACCTTCTATTTCAGTTCTCTCCTGCAT